TCTTTCCCTTCCTGGCACAACCTTGGCAATTAGGAGGACTGCGGCCTAGATTCTTTTCATCCTGTCCCTCTCTGTGGATTTGTCATTTGTTGAGTCTGGATCAGATTTCGGTTGTGCGTCTTCGGTGGGAATATCAGAAATGCTGTGTTCTCCTGAAGACGTCCTATCCTACGGCATGTGACTTCAGTCTGCACTATTGCTGACGATCTTCCCTCTGACCCCTAAGGCCACCAGCTTCTCCACTTTTTGTCCTTTGTAATAAACAAGTGTTAAGAGAGGAGAAGGAACAGTACTCTGAAAACATACAGAATCCTGTTTCTTACGAAACTGAATTTATTTCATGTGTTTTGTGGTCCCCAAGTAGGAGCAATTTTGCCCCCCTGAGACATCTGGCAATGTCTGGAGACATTTCTGAGTGAACAACTCAGGCCACTAGACTGAATGCATGACTTACATGATGTCTCTAGTGGCTGGCCTCGGTCCAAAGCACTGGCCTAGTGGGCAAAGACCAGGGATGCTGATAAACAACTTGCCAGGAACAAGGCAGCCCAACTTACGACAAGAGTTCTCCAGGCTAACATGGCAATAGTGATGCTGTTGAGAAATCGCGATTCACTCACACTTGTTCAGCCTTGTGGTTGCCTATTTTATCCTGTGGATTATAATCTATCATTATTATTTATGTTGATGCACAAATCGTCCCTGATTTGGCCAGGAGGCATCCACCCATGCTGGCATCTTTTTTGCATATCCCTGTCATCCTTTGAGCACTTGCTTATTTTTTTGGACCAGGATCCAGGCTCATCTTGTACTTTTCCTGCCACATTCCTGGAATTAGCCAATTTTCAAGCAAGCAAATGGTATTTATAAGCCAAAATCTGGGTACTAGGTATGTTCATTGCTCTTGAGGGTTCAGTTACTCCCAGCCCCTCTCAGTAGACAGAGCAAGGCAAAATACTCTCTGTCTCTCTCTCTCTCTCTCTCTGTCTCTCTCTCTCTCACACACACATACATGTATACTATTAATACCTATATTGATTTAACTACCTCTTTATTATTATTAAAAATCATACATTCACCCCAATCTTTCCAATTATATCATCCAGTTCATTCTAGTTTTCTTCTTTCCATATTTACAATTCTTTTTTCTATCAGGAGTGTTCTGGCTTCTAACATATTTACCCTATTTCCTTATTTAATCAATACTCCTATATATAGTTGCATAAAATAGAATTACCTTACAGCAAAATTGGAGCAGCTCTCTGCTCATCTCCAGGGACACCTGGAAGTCTGGTCAAGACAAAGATAAGCAGGCTAGCTTGAAGATGAAAAGGCTCCCAGTGGCTCCAGGGTCAGCTCGTCTACACTGTTTAGGGACACATGGACAATGCCACACACCTGGCTACCAAGCCTAGGTTGGCTATACATCCAGTCAAGCGTAAGCAACACTACTGGATACTTTGCCCAGGCTTTTCGAAAACCAAGATTTCTTGTACATGCCTAGATGGCCCATAATCTAGAGACGAAATACGTCCTGTGCACCCAGGAAGTAACCCTGGGAGTTGCACAAGGTCAAGGCTTCCTGGGCTTGCTTTTCCCTGCTGAGCCAAATCTTTGTCTTTATTAAGTGCTGATGGGAATGGGAATGCTGTGAGTCCTTCCAATTCTCCAACACCATGTGCGCCTCTGCAGTAACCAATCTCCCCTCTGCCTCTTCTGCCTATCTGAGCATCCTCCTCCTTCTGCTCAGTGCTGCCTCCCATGCCCAGCCACCCTCTTCCAGCAAGATCTCCCTGGTTCCAACCTCCCCAGTCTGTAGGGGTGATCTCCACCTCCACTCAGACATCTACCACCCCCTAGGACACCTCCAAACACCTCTCTCTGTCCTACTTAATGGAGTTAAGATCACAAATCATTAGCAAAGGGGAGAGATGGAGGAGAGCATTTCTGTGGTTTTTAAAAAGAATCATGATGGTAGCTTCCCATGTGATGCTTAAAACTCTCAATGCTACAGAAAAGCTCACACATTTTTATTTGCAAGAGTTAAGATTTTCTTGTCCACCAAACGAAGCGTTCCTTTATCTCTGAGGTGCACAGTCTGACATGAAAACAAAAACCTCAAAGAAATCCCTCACACTAAACAAGATTAAATAGACTCATGGATGTATCTCTCAGATTACGTTCAGATTCAAATGAGAACAGACCACAGATGATGGTGACGTGAAACAGGAGTTCCTCTCTTGCTCACACAGAGGCAGCCTGGGAGTCCTGTGGCTGGTTGCCCAGCCCTGCCCAGTGTATGGCACCCACTCTGCATGGACAGAGAGTTGACATCGACC